AACCAAAAATATCTATATATATATATTAATAAAATTAGCCTAGCCAATCAAATCTAAATCAACCCGACCACCGTATTAAAATACAGGCCCAAGCCTAATATGCCCAGGCCGGTCCTGACCCAAGGCAACAAAGGAGGTAGCCTACCTCAAAATTTATAGCCCATGGTTGATCGGTCACCAAAAAAACAAAATATTTAGGGCAAATCATTTCTGCCTTCCCAATCGCCTCCATCTCTATTCTCGTTCCCGACTCTGAGCTTGCCCTCTCTCTCTCTCTCCAACTGCAAACTACAAAATCTACGAGAATCAGAAGTTCAAAACCCATATATTTCAGTTTATCTATCTGTCTGCAAGAATCAAAAGTTCAAAACCCATATCGGCATATCGTTTCAGATTGTTCAAAAAATCAAAACCCATATCTTTCAGTTTCCATCGCCCGCTGTTCCAGTTCGGGTTCACCGTTCGCAAGCTTCAGCCGCTGGCCCGCTGTCTCTCAACTCTCAAGCTTGCCCCCTCACTCCCTGCAACTGCTAACTTGTATGTATGGGTTTTGTTTTAATTTTTTTTTTTTTTTTTTTTCCCTTCTAAATCAACTAATCAAGGTCTGTAATTCTTGTTTTGCAAACTAAATCCTATTTGGTGAAATTTTTAATGATCTTTATATATATATATATATATATATATTACAATATAAAGTAACAAAATTTGCATTGCATTACATTTTGGTTTTTGATTTTCTTTTGTTATTAGAATGCAGAATATCAGGATGTTGATTTGTTAATTTTGAAGTTTATTCCTAAACTGATGCACTGTACTTTGTTATTGGATTAATCTAACATAAGAGCCGAGTATAATATGTGCTAATCACACCTATCCCTACGGATGGGTGTCCAACATTTTGACTGAAAGCATAGTTGGGGGTTGATACATGATACAGATGGTACTTAGATGGTGGTGTTTTAATTGTTATGAGTGAGATTGTGAAACCTCTTTCTTGCAACTTGAGTGTTTTCTTATTTTTAGGGCTAGCATCGGGCCTTAACATTTAGCAAGAACAAGGGTCAAGAAACATGCCTCCTCAGTCATCAGGTAACAAACTCTTACTTTTTCTAAAATTTTAATACTTTTATTTATTCATGTTTTACATACTGATTTTTTGTTTCTACATACATATATATAACAAACAATTAATAATGGGAATTAAAGACTTGGAAGTTTAGTTTTCAATTTCAGAATATTTGTTGTACAAGTTTATTAATGCTTTTAAAACTTTTCCTCTTTTGTGCTAATAATACAGGTCTCTTTTTGAAAGAAGAGAGTTGATTGGGAATGGGTGGAGTGGGCAAAAGAAAATAGGTATGTTTTTTTTGCATAGCTAATTGAATTATATAAATCCCCTTACCATTGTAGCAGTGATGTTGGTTTTAAAATGACCAATTATGATAGGAAGTCTCTTTTTAGTTTATCTTAATAAAATGTTTATCTATGCAAGAGGATTACGTGATTCTAGATGACGATTCTAGATGAAGATGTTAATGTCAACGTTATGAGGATGTTGATGTCAACGTTGACACTAGCGATGACGACTGATGATGTTGATAATATGTTGATGGACTCAAATTAAGTCAAAGCACTTAGAATTGAAGGAAAATTAGAGTTGAAGACATACTATTGAGCATAGTGTCTAATTCTTTTAGTTACAAGAATCTTTGGTCACTTCACACATGATTTTTCAGTTCCTCAAATTATGAAACAGTGGTGTGTAATATGATTCATCTACTTGGGCTCTCTTCTTTTTCATCTCTCTAAACCCTAATTTTATCTGTGAAAAAGAAAAAGAAGACACTATGCAATTTTAATTTAACTTTATCAGTTTGAGCATTGACAGAGCTTCTGAAATATTGAAACTGAAACAACAAAGAAGAGAGAGTCCACCAATAAGAATTACCCAACTTAGGACAAAATAAGCTCTCTGAGCGTCTTGACTAATATTGGCATGGGATATTTCTATAGATATGGACTTGTAGAGAGAAAGATATATGGTTAAGGGCACAAAAGTGTATGACAAATGTGAACCAACAATAGGGTTGTGAGCTTTTGGCTTGTTTCATGCATCGGATCTAGGAAGTGTACAACAATGAAATGGAAAGCTCTGATGCACTCAAAGTTACAGAAGGCAATAATATATATTTATAACATACTTTACTAATCTAATATGATATTACGTATATAATATATATATATTTGTACCTTTATACTTAGATATATTTTGATTTAGCCCACCCCATTGAGAAATCCTGGATCCACCCTTGATCATATGGTCTTGAACTGGTGGGAAGGAGGTTTGCTTGGTCTTGGATTATAGGCCCATGTGGTAGGATTATTTGTATATATAATAAATATATATATACATAAAATATATATCTATATATATATATATAAATATAGATATATACACATTATATAATGTAGTATTACAATAGTTATAGGATTATTATTTTTCCTAAATTTTACGGGATTTATATAGATATGTTGGGTCTCTAGGGTTTCTTGTAGAACCCGTACACAGACAAAGATGAAAAAGGAAAAAAGAAACAGAGAGAAAAGAGAAGGAAAGAAATAGGGAGAAAGAAAGAGAAGAATAGGATGATTTGTGAGGCCGAATCAAGAGGCAAAGGCAGGGGGCTGTTGTGGGTGATAAGCGTAGCAGCAAAGGTAGACGACGGCGACCCAAAAGCCGCCGGCGTTGAGAAAGAGATCGGAGAAGAACGGTGTAGAATTTTCGACCCGAAACTCTAAGAGGCAAGTTTTTGTTCTACTTATCATCTTTGTTTCCGTGTGCGATTTATCCATAGAACAACATAGGGAATTAATTATAGATTAGTTTGATTATATTCATGCTATGAATGAATCATACAGTGAAGAATAAGCATATATGTGTGTGTGTATATATATATATATACATTCAAAGATGTTTCGATTGGTAAAATTATTACCCGATCTTGTTATGGACTATTGGGACATGCTAGGACATAGTTACAAACCTTAGGACTTTAGCTATGGAGTCTTGGAGGAGTGGCATGGCTGCAGATTGATGTGGAAGGAGCAGCCCAGGAAGATGCCGACTTATCCTTGGAGAAGTCGGCTTAGAAGAGGGGGAGGTCGGCTTCTTCAGGAAGAAGCCAACCCATGGCTGGGAGTTGTTCTCCTTTGGGTCTTCTGTGAAATCAAGTGGAATTACAGGAGTGGTTTCTTTGGATTTTGCGAAAATCAATGGCACATAGGTTGGTCTGGGGTAGATAGATATATGTATTGGCTGGTTGTATGGTTTTATATATAACATGTGGGCACCTTTATTAACGTGCTATGAGTTAATTTAGAATAGTCATAGCTTAGACTTAGATTCACTTATATGTGGATTGTTATAGCTTATTGGTATAGTAACCATTTTAATGATAGATAATAAGTTAATATAATGGAACTTATTTGAATTGCAAGTTATAAATTTAATGACTTATGTTAATTGTTCATGTAACGGTAAATGACTTAAGAGTGTCCTGAAATTAATTTGCTCTTCAATGAAGAGTTCTTTGAGATGGGCCTACTGAACCTGAACGGGATTCAATTGACAGGATTTTAATGAAAATAAAACAGATTCTTTTTCTATGTTTAAGAAACTTGATATAATCAGTTTTGACCTACATAAAGGCAATGAGCTTACTTGAATTCAAGTTTGACAGATGCTCTTAGAGTTAGTTTCCTTTCTCAATTACATGTGATATGTTGTTCTCTTAATGGCATAACTTTAGCGTAGCTTTAATGGACTGAAGCTGAGGCAAATTCTCTTAGCAAATCCAGAATAAGGGCATATCCTCTGTTTTGTTAAGGGCAAAACCAATAGATTCCCACATCATACTGGTTGTGCTGGTTCCTCAGGGTCATTAAAACTGTGTGGGTTATTCGTCATATGCATCAGTACATAAAAACAATTCTTAAATAATTCTCTAATACTTTGTCTATTAGGCAATGAGTTATAGTATTGTCTTAATGTCAGTTAATTTATTATTGTGTTTGACTGTCTCAAGTCTAGATCAATCAATACACATTTGATCACTGTAATCAAAATAATGCATATGCACTCCTAGAAAATTTGAAAATGATCAATTGCAGTATAAGCTGTTTTACCTTTCTTTTCTCTTGTATAGGTTAATCATTCACTAAAATAAAGAAAACCTTCAAATAGATTAATGATATTCTGATATTCCAAATAAGTTTTTTTTTTTTTTTTTTCACCCTGTATTACTTCTTTCTTTTTTCTTTTTCTTCTTCTTTTGAACTGTATTAATTCATATCTAAGATGAAAGAAAGCTTAAAATCCTGATGCTGTGTTAATTTTACTTTGGTTTGCTCTTTGTTAGTTGATTTTGAGTTCTTGGGTCCAATTTTTTTTGTTGTATTTTTATTTTTTGTGGGTTTTGATTTCTTAAATCCAATCACTTATAGTTCTGTCGAATTTTGTCACCTCTGCTGAATTGTATAGTCTCATTCATAGAGATGACAATTTGTCCCACTCTACCTTGTTCAAATCAGCTACGCCCTCTTTTTTTTTCTCTTTAGTTTTCTATTACCAAGGCCAATTTGTATCTGAATATCACTAGACTTTTGTAGATCTACAATTTAATATTCATTTCCACACCTTTTTGAAATGAATGCCTGCTCTAAACTTGTCATCTTTACTAGGATTTGTTCGTAATTTTTTTAGATGGAGAGAAGAGAATGCACCGAAGAAGAAGGGAAGTCTGAATCTGCATTTTTTATTGACGATCCTGTCATCATTAATATTCTTTCGAGGCTTCCAACCCGAACACTGCTTAAGTTCCGTCAAGTTTGCAAGCATTGGAATACTCTAATTTCGGAAAAGCAGATCAACGATGGTCGAAAAGAAATAGAGGAAACCTCTGAGGTTGATACGATACCAATGCAGCTACAATAAACTTCAGATGGGAGTCAATGAACCAATAAAGCTGAGTTTTGAATTCAATTTGCCAAATAGATACATGCGTTTTGTTGGTTCAGCAAATGGCTTAGTATGTTTTTTCGATTTTAAAATTGATAAATTATACATAAGCAACCCCCTCCTAGGAGAATTTTTTGCCCTCCCAGAGTTCTTGTCGAGATCTCAATCGAAAGCTGCGTATGGTTTCAGTTGTAGCACTGTGCAGCTTGCTTACAAGATTCTAAGGATAAAAAAAGATTGTCCAGCTAGGGATACTACATCTAAGAACTCTACAGCGGAGCTGTACACCTTTAAAACAGGTAAATGGATGAATATAGGTCATGCTTTGTATCCACAAGCTAGTAACGGTCGCTTTGGTGCTAGGGTGAACGGCATTCTACACTGGATAATTGAAGATCCTGAAAGCAGTGATGTTATATGCTGCTTCGATATTGAAAAGGAAGTATTCGGTTCAGTTCAACTACCGAGCGCCCTTAAAAATTTTTGGGGACGCATAGATTTGAAGGTTGAAAGCCTTAGAAACACACTTTTTGTATTCCATGGATCTAGCATGTATCTGCACATCTTCTCAATGAAAGAATATGGAGTGAACAGGTCATGGTCTCAAGATCACAAAATCCAGAAATCCATCCTTCCCCCTCCGTTGCGGACTTCTGAGCTTCAGCCAATTACAATGTGGAGGGATAAATTTTTGTTTTCAGCACCACAAGGTCCTTTGCTATCTTACAATTCGACAACTAATGTTTTTGCTGAGGTCAACACAATTGGTATGCATTCAGGTTTCCAAGGATTTGAATACCTTTCGACATTTCTCTCAATCAAGAAATCTGTAGAAGTTGAAACCATTGCTCTGTGGAAGAAGGTGATTCAAGTTTTATGTGTATAAATTTAAGTTCTTTTTACTTGACCTGAATCTGTTTAATCTTCAATTTTTATAAAAAATTTGGGAACATTCTCTTATTGGTTGCTAGAATGTTATTTTTTAGTCTAATATGTAATTATGTATGATGCTGGCTGGATATATGCAGGTGAATTTATTCGCGCAAACAAATTACGTCCACATCTTTGTTCAGTCAACCTTTAATGCTCTCTCAGCCGAAAAAATTAGAGGTAGGGATAATGTTACTTTTTTCGCCATTCCGTGGCTTACATATAATGTTGTTCGGCCAACATTCAACATTTTTCGTTGATTAAATTGTTTCTTTCTTTTACTGAAAATTAAGGTTTATATTTTCTAAACTTTGACTGACTTTGATTTTGTTTAGAGTAAATTTCTCAGTAATACTTCTCAATATAATTAAATTAAATGGAATACATAATTTATATATATATATATATATCTTTGTAAAAAAATGCAAAACCAAGCATTTAAATTGAGGTTTTGAGAAAATTTTACTCTTCACAAAAATATTTGTACATATGAAACTATCGGTTGTGTTCACCAAAATTTCAGAAGTCATAGCATATAAATTTAGCTACATCAAAACATGTTTATTCGTATTCTTTTGGGAATTCGATAATTTGGAATTGAAATTCACAGCAATATTTCTCCATTTCCTGATCCATTTAATTTGTTATGCTGGATATGCATCATTTTAAGGAGGCTGCATACACTATCACATAAATGTATATTTAATAGCATGCTATAAGAGATTGATCTTTTTGGCCAAGAGCACCTAGAGCAAGGAACCTGATTTAAACTTATATGCTGCTAGGTTTGATGACCTGAATAGGAACATTATGTTCTTTTAATTATCATTTCTTTTACTAATGGCATGATTGTTTCAGCTTCTCTTTGCTTTGTGATTCATGGTTTCATAGTTGGCACCAAAGGTTGCACTGCTGTAATAGTTAGAGGCCAACTATAGATGGTGGAGGTACACTTAGGTATGCATGGATTGGTGGTGTAATGGTTATGATGTAACAGTGGTAATGATAGTGATGGAGAATGTTTTTGCGAACCTGGGGATCTTGATATTTTTTTTTCTTTTTTGAGACAATGTATTTTGTGGCAGTTGAGTGTTGGGTAAGACGTGGAAAGGGTATAATACACCTTTGGAGATACAACAGGATGTCAGGTTATAAATTCTATTAGATCCAACTTAGGTTTTACTGGTGAAAATTATATTATTGTACCAATAATCTTTTGTCGTAGGTTGGAAGCTGCAAAGATTTCCATCATTAGGAATTCTACTCAGAGCTGCTTATTGACTGTAGTACTTTCCTTCTGGAAATAATTTTGGGATTTTCTCTTCTTGCTTCATTTTTCAAATGGTTAATGTTTGACTCAGACAATTACTGCTCATTGGATTATGTTTATTTTTTGTAACGGCAATTTCATTAATGCAGGTACTATGCTGGTTTATTGGTGATGGCCACAATTTCTCAAAGGATGCCATCCAGGTACAGCCCCACCCCCCTCCCCCCGCGACTCACTTTTTTGGCATATGCCCGCTCCACACACACACCCAACTGAGAGATTTTGGCACTGAATCTCTGTTTTGGTTTCGTCAGCTTCGTTGAATAGGTTAACATATAGGAAAATTGCCGATTAGTTACACTTTCAATTGCAAAGACCAATAAGTCCTATTATACATTATAACTTTATTAGGAACAAAGTCTTACTTCAATAAATATCTCCAACGAAGTTACAGAATTCTATTAACAATGAAAATTTTCGGGTATTGCCTTTTCTTTTTGAAATAACTGTAATTTGTTATTATTAAAAATGACTAATTACACCTTTTATCAATTTACAATAACAATGAAAAAGTGACCTTTGCTAGCCCTTTGAGCTTGTCTTACTCCTCAGGCCCTCACAGGGCTGCTCGCCCAATATAAAAATTAAATAAATTTGTTTTAGTAAATAGTAGCTGCCCAATAGAGTGAATTCTAGAATGCCTTGCCATTTGCCACCCAAGCTTGAGTTGAGTTGACTGGGGGTGTCAGTGTAACTAGGAACAAAGTCTAGAGATGATGGACCCGAGCTTGAGTTGGGGGGTTCAATACCTTAATTAAGTTTGGTTTAGCTGGGTTGTGTCACCAGGATCTGATCTGGTCCATTCTGTTGAGAATACTTATTTTCTTTGGGTATGTAAGAACACCCGTGCCCAACTCAATCCACTAGCCCTTTGCCTCCTGTGTAAAGGATTTACATGTATCATGCCTGACGTTTGTTTTTACCTTCTATAGCTACTCTTATGGAGTAGAATAAATAGTAAATGTGGTTGATTAAATGGCATCACTCTTGCTTTATGAAAGTATCCTGTTTTCATGATGCAAAAGAAACAAATTGTAGGCATAATGGTCTGGAAAAGGACTACCTAGAAAGTTAAGGTGGAGTGATTTTTTTCCTTGTGTCGGGTGTGGCTGTAGGTTAGGTTTGGGGTTGATCACGCCCTTCAGTTCCATTTTAATAGACCTTGGTTGCCTTAAATACTGGTTGTTCCCTTTACATACAGGTTATTGACCTTGTTATATGATCTACTTGTTCTGTTTTGTAAAAATTGGCAGATTATAATTAAGATGGCGGCTGCAAACAGAGTAAGACGCGTTTGGGTTGGTCAGAATGGGTTGCTCTCCACTCCTGCTGTATCAGCTGTTTTACGTGAAAGAACTGGTTCGGATGTAAGATAATCAGCTTTGTATTGCTACCTCTAGATATGTTGTGGAGTTCTCTTTTCATTAGTACATTAACAGTGAGACTTAACATTAAAAAACAAGACACAACTCATTATGATCTTCTGTAAATTCCAATGCAGGGATCTAAGGCAACAAGAGCATTCATTTTGACAGCAAGTCATAAACCAGGTGGTCCCAATGAGGTACCAGCTATGTTTGTTTCAATCATTAATTTTTATATTGACGAAACTTGTACAATTCTGGTGATCCATGATTTTACCTTTTTTATACCAATAAAAGATGTAGCTTCTTCTATTTTATTTTAGTGTAGTTTAGTTTTGATTCTGTCATTGGTGGTGCAATGCATCACTTGCATCTATCAATCTTCTTCACATTATGTTCTGGATTTTGGATAAAGCGATGCAAAGATTGTTTATCCTAAATCTTGAAGGCCACAGTGATTGAAAACAATGGCTCCATGTTAATTCACAGCTGGGAGAGCAATTTCTGTTATATAATTTCCTGGAGCTTACATTGTATACCAGGTGTCTCTTTGTTTAATTTACTTCCATATTATCTGTAAATCCGATGTTATCTGTAAGTCGCCTAACAGGTTATTGGACTAATTTTTATTTCTTAAAGTAGACTTCATAACATCAGCATGCACTTACATTCTTTGTTGGCTGAGTTATCCCATTGCCAATATGCACTGAAGATGTTCTATTCTAATTTTTGCTTGAAATCCTCTATTTGAATATTCATGGTTACTTAAAAATGTTTGATTCATGTGTGGTATGAAATATTTTTGTGCTGGAGTCATTTAGTTTAAGATCTTATGCCCCTATATATATATATATATATATATATATGTATATATATATATATATTTTTTTACGAATTAGAAAGAGCGGGGCCTTACTTATTCAGGGGAGACGAGGGACAGATAAAGGGATCAGGGGCCTTTATGATCGGAGAAAGGGAATGTTCTTCATGGGGGGAAATAAAAAATGTGGCCCAAGCACTCTTGAGTTTTTGTTAATTGCCGGTTTTTAAGTAATTAGAAATCAGTTCTAATTTTTTTCTCATTTTTTGCTTCGTGTTTGCTGAAGTTCATTCTGACAATCTTTTGCCACCTGATTTTTCAAGTTTCCTTCAGTCCAAAATAATCACCACCTGGTTTTTCAAGTTTCCTTCAGTCCAAACTAATAATTATTTATTGTATAACAGGTATGGTATCATTGTTTTGCTAGATGTGACTGAAGTGACATCTATTTAGGGAGCCTAAAACTAAGACTATGGGCCTCAGTCCATAGATATTAAATTTTTTTTTACAAGTCTCACTCCATATAATTCATATCACGATTTAGCTTCTAGTTAGAGAACCTTGAAAACTATGTAAGCCCTGCTCATAGTTTACCATGTCCTCTGATAGCACCTTCAGACACAAATCTGCATACCAAAACAATTCATGTTACAAGAGACATTGGTCCGTATATTCCAATTCATAATTGTGGTTCATTGAGGTTCTAAATTTGAATTAAGTTGAAAGTTTTACTTTTTTAGCAAAGGAATTGAATAAAGACATTCAAAAATTTTTTACAAGACATGTATGGTGTAATATTCATTCAATGTTCCCTATTTACTAATCATCTGCTATGCAATATTTCATTCTCATCAATTTATCTACCACTGCTGTTTTTCTCATAATTGTACTGAGGTTCAATCTATGAATTCTTTTTCTCCAATCTATCGTGGAAAATTTTCATTTTTAGGCACCAAACATGGTTCAAGTTTCATTTTTACTCTATAATATCATAGTATAACTCCAGTTTATCTACAAGTTACACGTATGGTACAGGAAGGAATCTAGGTTAGCATGCTGTAATGAATGTGTATTAGAGTTGAGCTTTACCTGGAAACTCTTTTGGTGTCACCCCCGACACTCCTTGGTGTACTTATCTTTTGTCCGAATTAATTTATTTGTTATTTTTCACATCAGGAGTCAGGACAATTGAAGTCCCTTTAAACTTACCAAATTGACCATCTAGGCTTCTTTTTATCTCCCTTAATTTGTATGAAAAAAATCATTTTTCATCATTCTTCTCCATAAGTTTTCTAAGTATAAAGAAAGCCTGACTGGATATGTCCCTTATATGAAGGCTCAAGCTTTAATGGTTTAATTTGAGATTTGAGTGCCTCTCTTGATTTAAATGAGATTGATCCTAGGTTAATTGGAATATCATAAGCTGAGTACCACCTTTCTTT